GACGATATATATATATATATATATATAGTTCTATTTGACGATATATATATATATATATATATATATATATATATATATATATATATATATATATATTAATCTCAAATTTGGTAACGAATTTCAATATGACCCTAAGGCAAAAGTGTTTCAGTTTATTTTTCTGCATAACATATGTTTTTTTCAGATTTTTTTGAATTTTATTTTTTTTGCTTTTTTTTTCGTACGTACGGCCTGTACGACCACATGAGGCCGTATGTACGGCCTTACGGACGTACGGACGGCCCATATTTGTACGGGGGTATACAGTCTTACGTAACTGAAGTCCTAGACAACGACGTGAAAAGGGAACAATAAATTCAAATTTAATAGCATTACTATTAACTAACCATCCTCTCTTATTTCTCAACATTTTGTTTCCATATCGACAAGAGACCAAAGAAGAACCGTAAGATCGCCTCATAATTTTCCATTTATCTGTAAAAAGATTACCCCCTTTACAAATAACAGTACAACTGTAAATATTAGCATTTTTACAAAAATCTAAAATACTCAAAATACTTGAGGATACGAGGTCAACCGACGAATGGAACAAGCAAAGAGAATCTTCAAAGGAGAATAAATGTTTTTGGGGGACATTGGATCCGACAGCCTTTTTAAGTATTTTCCTGATCGACGTCGTTTTGTATGAACAACTTTGTCTCGAATATTCAAATGCGACCCCAAAGTCCTGATAAAGAACTTTTCTACTTCCGGGAGATCCTCAGCCAAACAGTAAAAAACCGGGATAGCGACATATTTAGACGGATCACATCGACGTAACCATCTGTATAACTTCTCATTCTTTCGGCGAGCTCCATTTTCAGGGGGATTACGAAACCTAGAAACATGTTCCGACCACCGGGTGTATATATTTTTATTAGTACTACCTACATAGATATAGCGACACCAGGGAGAAACCAACACATATACCAATGGACCAGAACCCTCATTCAATGTACCATCCACACACGTCCGAGAGAGATAGCTTCTTATTTTAGTTGCCCACGGGACTTGACCAGCACAGATCAAAGCGATCACAATTAGAGCAAATAAGGAGTTAATCACCTTACATCTCAGCAAATCATCAAAGGTAGAACGAGTCTTACGAAAGCAGTGAGCTAATTTTCATAAATCGGCCGCGTTCGGGGAGGACACTAAGAAGAGCCAGAGACTTGCTCGTTAGTCGTGTCCCCTTAAATACGAGTATCATCATCTACCTCATGTACTGCTATGCCTTTACCTCTGTCTTCCGAAAATGCCCTTGCTACTCTTATCTGCAGGACCTCCTTCTTGGTTGCTTCCAATATTAGTGTATGTTACCCCCTCTTTGGCACATTCCTTCTTGACCTCTTCCATGTTCATGGTACGAAGAAATTTCCAACATTCTTTAGTGAATCCCTCCTTGTCGTTGTCCCTCTGGACCAGTTCTTCATTGATCATAGTTGTTTCTCCCTTCCCCGTTGTTATCTTCCTTGCTGAGGCGACAACCACTTCATCCAGCCTTTGTCAAAGATTCGTGTCTGACATTCGTTCTCTCTTCTTGGCCGTTTCCAGTCATGCAAGCTCTTCCTTTAGTCTTTCGACCTCCTGCTCTGCCTCTCTTCTTCCATTCAACTCCTTCAATCTCATTGCTCTCACACACTTAACTTCTTCAGCGTGCCTCTTCATCATTTCTTGGTAATCTCCATTCGACGGTGTTGTTGGGGACTTCCCCGGTGTCATTCGTGCTCGCACCCGTGTCGTCGTCGTTGGTGTCTCGATTATCACGATATTGCCACGTTTGTTCCCTGGCCTATTGGCCTCGAGCTTCCACGCAGCGGCCTCCCGTTCTACAGCCTCCGCCCGTCTCTCCGCAATACTCACCAATGAGTCACCATCGCTAACAGTCTTGTGTGCATTTCTGGCTGTTCCCTTTTCATCTCCTCCTGCTGTTGTCGCATCTTCTCAACCATCTCAAAATCTAGTTCGTTGATTGCGTGTGCACGTGCCGTCGACGTCGATGCCATGCCACGACGAATTTCTTCCATCTCCGTTCGTAACTTCTCAATTGTTGCCTTATCCTTCTGTTGTTTCCTGGTCCAAGCCTCTCGTACCGCACTTAGCTCGGTTGCCATAGTGACCTTCAACTCTTTTTGGAAGGCTTCTCTTTCTTGCTTCTCCTTTTGCCTTCTCTCCTCTTCCTCCTTTTCTCGCTGCTTCTTCTCTTCGCCCTCTTTCTTCTTGCGTTCCTTCTCTTTGTCAGCATCATATCGAATCTTCATCTTGCCAACTTGATCCTCCAATGATTCCAGTCTTCGATTGGTGTTGTTCCATCCGCCTCCTTGATATGGCACAATCGTTGTAGCGTTACCATTATTAGCCGGATTAGTAAACGGTGGTGCGGACGCTGGAACAATAGCTGAAGCATTTTGCTGTGCATTAGGATTCTGAGGGCACCATCGCGCAAAATGGCCGGCCTGCCCACAAATAAAACACGTACGAATGATCGTCAAAGAGGAGGCTCCAAAGTTGGCCATCTCGAAGGTCGGTGCCTAAATAAAAGAAGACGTAAGAAGAAGAAGAAGAAGAAGAAGAAGAAGAAGAAGAAGAAGAAGAGGAGGAGGAGGAAGAAGAAGAAGGAGACGTATCAAACAATAGCCTAGAAAGTGCCGAATGCCAACAGAATCTTATGAAGCCACACATTCGTAGTACTACCTCTACGCTGGTTACTCCGCGAAAAAAAGTGTTTCTGCGATGCAGATGCTCGAAAAACGAGTTGACCATTCATACACCATTCATGACACTAGAGTTTGACCATGGAAGAAGGAAGGAAGAAGGAGAAGAAAAAAAGGAAGAGGAGAAGTAGGAGAGACACAGGTATACAGTCTGGAAAAACCTGAACGTGACTTCTGCGTCAGATACTCTTGAAAACAGTGAAATCGGACATAGCCCGAACTGAGTGCCCGACCGGTTTCGGCTGGTCGCCACCAGCCATCGTAAGGGGCTCTGGTCGCACGATCAGTCCAAGTCCAGTCCGTATTTAACCTGTGAGAAGAAAGTAAACTGTTCTAAAAAAATTACTATCGTCAATTTCCTGTTAAAAATGGAATGTCTAGATACAAGGTTTCTTCTAGAAGTAATGACAACTGATAAAAAACTGCCGCTCAATGTACCGGGCCCTTTTGTCTATCAGCCAAACTTGAAGGTCACCGGTTCAAACCATCAAGGCAAACACACAGGCTAAAAAACTGCCACCTATCTATTAATTTATTAAATCTAGCTACGCCGGTTCGAGTCTAAAAAAAACTACTAGTTCCGTGGTCCCACAGCATGACATCCCGAACACACGGACATTTTTTTTTTTTTTTATTTTTTTTTTTCGGAAGGAAGACGAATCTCGACTTTCTTGTTTCTCAGGTGACTCCCCGTCAGAGGCGTGGAGCAATTCATTGTCTGCTAGAGTGTTTTTTTTTTTTTTTTTTCCTTAGTACTTCTGTTTTGTGAGTAGAAACAGCGTCCTCGTTTCTTTTCTGCGGTATCACATAGGGCGCTGCTGGTACCGCCCTATTTTTTCCATGTGCCGGTACCTGCTGCCTCCAACCTCGACGAATTGTGGCGTGCAGGGCATGTTTAGGCTCGCCATCAATAGATGGGTCAAGGTACTGGTAGTTTATAAGACTGATTTTCACACCCCAAAGCCCGTGGTGCACATTGGCCCTATAACATCTAGCTCGTTGGGCTTCAGCTGCCCCGCAAGGAAGGGGGGCGGATGGGAAGGGGAGGACCAGCCAAGAGACAATTTTTGGCCTTCTTTGTTGGCAATATGGAGAAGGTTCCCGTTCCCTGACAAAACCCCCCAGACTGTTGGGAGGAGATCTATCGTCATCTTCTGTTCAGCAACCAATGACTGACAGACCAACGGGGCTCTATCAGATCGATCTCAACTCTACCATGGAAAAGTTGGGTTAATGGGGGAGTGCTCATAATGGGGATCTTTGGGACCAAGAAAAACGAGACTGGAAAACAGCCAACCAACTACGGGAAACTCTACATCATTGCCACCATGTGGAAAAACATTTGGAGGATCTAATTGAGATTGTTCCACTAGCATGGTACCGTACCCTCAAACAAGGACCCTCCCTCCAAAAACGGGATTGGATAGCGACCAAGAAGGTGCTGACACGCATTGGTCAAATTCATATGGTAGATCCCCAAATGGTTCTGGTGGAGTACTACAAAAGTACGCGAATGGGGGCCCTTGAAGGGAGCAGAGCCCCCTTTTAATGGACAAAGACGACTTTGGTTTATCGGATATGGGTCATGGTAGAGAGAGGGGTGAAAGTAGCTTACCAACCACAGTGGGGTTAGCTCTGGACCCGGCGGAATGGACTTATGGACTTGGTCACTTCCCCAGAGAAGCAGGGGATGCGGCAAGTCAGATAACCCTCTACCGGTTGTCAGTCAAGTCGGCCTACAGGATACCTAGACCCAAACGGTACCTGAGGGCTATGTGACACCCGCGGCCTAGGCCGCGGGCAATTCGGTCGCTGCGGCCGAAAAAGTCGGCCGCGGCAACGGCCGATGAGGCCCAGTCCGCGACCAGTTTTTTTTTATTTTTTTTCTTACCCCTAAAAATACGTATATATATATATACTATCCTACCCCTTAAGCAGCATTGGCCGCAAGGGGAGGTCGATGGTCCGCTTCGCGCCGGACTTGGGGGTGAAGTTTTGCTGTGGGCCGGCGGATGGAGGCGATCGAGGGCGGGCGGAGTGGCGCGTGTACCGAAATGTTCACAGCGCGCCAGAAAACGAGAGAGCGCGCCCAAGGGGCGGAGCGGCGGCGGGCGTCGATGCGAGGGAATATCTCAAAGCGGCCGCCGTTGATAGCAAGAAAGTGTCGTTTTGTGTTTTTTCCATTTTATTCATCGTTTTGGCGCCAAGTTTCTCTGGCGTCGGCGCCGACAAAAGGAAGCGGGGCGGCGGGTGCGTCGCAGGCAGTGACCCACCTCCACACTCAAACCCCCACCCCCGCCCCCC